ATGAAAGAAAATGAATTGCTGGTCTTAAGTCTTTATTTTTAATATTTCTCTAGTATTTTAAACTGGAAGCTTTTATGATAAGCTGCTTGGGTTGTTGTATATGGGTTGGGCACAGAACAAGAAGTGTCTGCTTTAGTCTGACTGACACGTAGGGGTGACTTTTAAATACACCTTCTGCAGAAGTGATGTTTTCTTCTTTCTTTCTTGCACTGTGCAGTTGGCTGTGTGGCACCTCTATCAAAAACATGGAGGGTCCAGGACTACAAAGAAGGTCATTTGTAATGAGGAGAGAAGGTGGAGTCTAAGCTGTGGGTCTCATACTGGTAATGCCAATAACTACAGCTTAGAGAAAGAAGGTCACACTGCTGCAGGGCCCTGACTGTAAATGGTGCTTCTATTGCTTTAAAGACTACATAATTTCATTCCAGTTAAGTCAGCAGACTGGGAGTATGTGTAATGATCTTCCCTTCACCCTCCAGGGTCTGAGCAAGAATGGTTCCAAGACCAAGTTTTCTGGCTTCCATAAAGATTTCAAAAGAAGAGTTTAAATCTGTGTGCAAGAATATTGAAGGTGCTATTAACGCTTGTTTGAGCTTTAGGAATGCCCTTTGACATCCTCCATCACTATTCCAAGCAAGTAGTACAGATATTTCAGCTTAAATAACTGAAACCAATTCTTGCCTTTGCAGGAAGTCTGAAGAGATAATTTTAACACTACCTTGCCCAAGTAAAGGGAAGTTAAGTGTCCATTTAAAGAATATCTCAGCACAGTATTCCTGACTTTTTTTTTTGAGTGACAGAAATGTCTTTCTCTTCTTTTCATTTTTACAAACTGGATGACTTTTCTTTCACCATGTCAGTTCAAGAAAATGCTTTCTAGCATTCTGGGACTCAGTCTCCACAACATCTTTGATAGAAAATTTAAGAATTATGACTTTTTACTTCTCTTTTGTAAAATATCAATACTTATGCTGAATCTAAGATATCCTCGGGGGACAAAGAAAAGGAAAATTTCACCTCCAGGTCCAAGAGCCCAGAGTACCTTTGTGGAGTGGCAAGTGAGAGGTACATAACTCAGGCACTTAAACTGAGAATAAAATTTGAAGCATTATGATGATGTTTATTCACCATATACTGTGCACCAGAAACTCCCATCTCCAGGGACACAAATACTGGGATCCAGTAACCAAGAAGAGGCTTGATTAGAAGGCCATTACCTAATGCTGTACCCCTGGATTTATGCTACTTTCTGATTTGCACAGAAGTAAATATAGAGACAATCAAGCCCTCTGTTTTTAGCAGGCATTAAAATCCCCCCGCAAAACAATAACATTCTAAGTCATGTGGTTTAGTTAGAAACCACAAATTTTTTTCCCCTGGAAAAAGTCTGGAGAAGTTCAGTATGCTTGATGTAAACATCAGCTTCTCAAACACAATATGATGAGATGCACAAGACGACTGGCCACTTTCTGAATTCAGCTGAATTCAGAAAAATATGCACCACAAAGAAGGAACTCATTTTCAAAAAAATTGTCTCTGATGTCAGAAGTTGTTAGTTGTTAATTGCTCCTGATTATCTTAGCACTAAAACCTAAAGATGACAATTAAAATCTGTGTCTCAACTAATAAAACAGTTGATTGCTCCAGCAAGTAGCACACCTATGTAATGGCTTATACATAATGTCTGGATTATGTATGGTATGCAACAGGGCAGTTAATAGCATAGACTGATTAAAAAAGGTGCAGATGCGGGTTACCCCTTGCTTAAATTCCTTGGTCCTCCCTTCAAAAGGAGGAAGCAGTGAAGAACTAGAAAGAAAAAAAAAATTACCCTCTATAAAAGAAATAAAAATCTCCAGAATTCTGAACTGTTGATAACTGATATATCAGATCATCTCAACAGCTTATGAATTCTCTGTAAGCACCAATACAGAGTAAGAAAGGACCAAGAGAAAAGCTAGCCTATGGTTTTCATGGTGAAGTCTGCTATAATATTGCACAACTCTCACTCTGGCAATACTTGCTTGTCATAGAAACCTCTGAAATAAGAAGACCAACTTTAAACTTAAAAAATATGTTTAACAAGGAGGGGGTGTTTTTACAAGATCTCACCCATTATCTATTTTGTATTATAATTAGCACATGAGCATGTGTGTAAATAGAGTATACTGTGGATTTATTATATACATTTGGGATTTTGAAAGGGATAACTTTTCAAGGACAGAAACTTTACATTTCCATTTTCCCCAACTTTTAAAATGTTTCTGAGCAAACTGTAAACTGTTTAAAAGATTCTTTCTTGTTAAAAAAATTTGCCTATTCCTTAGGACATATAATTGAAGAAAATCGTTTCATTGGTTAAAGACACAAAGTACCCTAAGGAAAAATGAAAAAAAGCAACAGTAAAAATGATATGCATATTACTACATACAGTATGAAAAACTGCAAAAAAAAGGAAAATAATCAAAGACAGTAAAGAAAGCATAATGCCTCAGTCAAGGCACAGTGAGAGCATTTAAAATATATGAAGAATTAAAGGAATTATACAATTACAATTCAGTCCTATTTGTAGAAAGGTATTACCTGATATTTGTGACCCTGAACTAAAGAGTGTTCTGGGTTGAGGCTTCTGGTGGAATGAGATAGAGAAATGTGACAAGCCTGTGCTAACTGCAAAGAATTCAAGTTACCTAAAATAAGTATCTGTGCAATTGTTATCTTTTGCTCCTGTTCAGTTAGATGGAATATTTTCCCATATATCTCCATTGCAAGCCAGCCAATGAACAGTGGACATTATCAAATCCTGAGAAAAGCAGTAGCAACATAGATACTGTTTCTTGACTCGGTTTAGTTGTCTTATATAGTTAATTCATGTCTCTCCTATTCATTAATAACATAGTTATCTCAAATGCATATTAATAAGAACTTATCTATCAAATACCACCACATTTTATCTATATATGAATATCAGCTTCAAATAATTTAGTTTAAATAGAAATAGGGTGATGGAAAGAATAAAATTCACTGGAGATGGATTTTATTTTTTGAAAAAAGAATGTGGCAAGTAGAAAGCAATTTAATTAATGAACAAATAAGTTCAAATTAAACTCCAACGTTAAAAAAAAACAACTTGTGGTTAATTTATAGTCTCTAAAAATATTCCAGATAATATGAGGAAGTAATTTAGGGAATGATTGTCAAGAGTTGCACAAACACCAGTAAGGAATAAGTTTGAAAAAATTACATGATTATGGCTTTCTTTGATTTGTATACTATGCAAAATAATCCACAGTTTTTCATAAATATGACTAAGAAAAACTGTGACAAAAATCTAATCATCACTTCCATATTAGTAATGAAAGTTCAAGCATCTAACAAAGGACATGGAAACAATGATTTGATGAAAAAAGGTTATTCTATTTAAATGTACAAAAAATCTATTAATTGAACAAAACATAGGAACAAGGTTTCTTAAATTAAAATGGAAAAATAATTTTATTTCATAAAAGTTTAAAATGTATAAAGCTTATCGGTTCAGGAAATAATTTGGGACACTTAGTAAAAGATGAATAGAGTTTTAAAATTTGTAGTTTCTCTAAAGAGAAAAATATTATGCGTTTTTAACAAATCTTTGCTATCTGTTTGCAAACATATTTATAATTTTTAGTGTTTTATATATTAATACTTTAAAGAAATCCATTAAAACCTTTAAATGTCTTTATGTTTTATTTTGCTTGACATGGGTAATAGTTATTTTTTACTAAGTGAAGTATTTCAGCTTCAAATAAAAAAGGCTCTGCTGGTAAGAGCAACTGTAAATCACACTTGTTAAACTAAGAATACTTAGAATGGTTTTTAAAAATTATTTTAATCAACTATACTACCAGAAAATTAGAGAAATATTTTGTGGGAATAGTACAAATTGGTTTATGTGTTTTCATTTCTTCTTGCTTATGAAGGTATTTATGTTGATTAAGGAGTCATTATTCACTTTAGATCATAGAATCATAGAGTCAGACGGGCTGGAAAAGACCTCTGAGATCATCAAGTCCAGCCCTTGATCCACTACCACCACTAGACCATGGCACTAAGTGCCACATACAATCTCATCTTGAAAACCTCCAGAGACGGAGAATCCTCTACTTCCTCGGGCAGCCCATTCCAATGCCTGATTACCCTCTCTAAACAATTTCTTCCTAATATCTAACCTAAACCTCCTCTGGCACAGCTTAAGTCCATGCCCTCTTGTCTTACTGATAGCTACCTGGGAGAAGAGACCAACTCCCACCTGGCTACAACCTCATTTCAGGGAGGTGTAGAGAGTGATGAGGTCTCCCCTGAACCTCCTCTTCTCCAGGCTGAACAACTCCAGCTCCCTCAGCCTCTCCTCATAGGACTTGTGCTCGAGTCCCTTCACCAGCCTTGTTGCTCTTCTCTGGACCTGCTCCAGCACCTCAATATCCTTCCTGAACTGAGGGGCCCAGAGTTGGACACAGTACTCCAGGTGTGGCCTCACCAGCACTGAGTACAGGGGAAGAATCACTTCCTTGGACCTTCTGGCCACACTGTTCCTGATGCAGGCCAGGATGCCATTGGCCTTCTTGGCCACCTGGGCACATTGCTGGCTCATGTTCAGCTTCCTGTGAATCCAAACTCCCAGATCCCTTTCTGCCTGGCTGCTCTCCGGCCACTCTGTCCCCAGCCTGTAGTGCTGCAGGGGGTTTTTGTGCCCAAAGTGCAGGACCTGGCACTTGGCCTCATTGAACCTCATCCTGTTGGATTTGGCCCATCTATCCAGCCTGTCCAGATTCCTCTGCAGAGCCCTTCTGCCTTCCAGCTGATCAACACTCCCCCCCAACTTAGTGTCATCTGCAAATTTGCTGATGGTGGACCCAATCCCCTCACCTAAATCATTGATAAAGATATTAAACAGAACTGGGCCCAACACTGATCCCTGGAGAACACCACTAGTGTCCAGCCACCAACTGGATGCAGCACCATTCACCAGCACTCTCTGGGCCCGGCCCTCCAGCCAGTTCCTAACCCAGCACAGAGTGCCCCTGTTCAAGCCTCAGGCTGCCAGTTTTTTTGGGAGTATGCTGTGGGAGATGGTGTCAAAGGCTTTGCTGAAGTCCAGGTAGACACATCCAGAGCCTTCCCCTCATCCATCAGATGGGTCAGCTGATCATAAAAGGAGATCAGGTTGGTCAGACAGGACCTGCCCTTCCTAAACCCATGCTGACTGTGTCTGATCTCTTGTCCATCCTATAGGTGCTGTGTGATTGCATCTAGGATGATCTGTTCCACAACCTTGCCAGGCACTGAGGTCAGGCTGACGGGCCTGTAGTTTCCCGGGTCCTCTTTCCAGCCCTTTTTGTGGATGGGCATGACATTCACCAACTTCCAATCGTCTGGGACCTCCTCAGTGAGCCAGGACTATTGGTAGATGATTTCCTCATAGTTTTGCCTGGGATGTCTTCTGAGCAGCAGCAAAAAAGTGTTATAGTTTCAGAAGCTTTGGGAGAAGTATTGAAAACTGCACCATGAATTGTTTATGTCACATGTATATTATAAATGATCAGAAATGAACTTTTTAAGAAGCTATCAGATGGGAGGAACACTGTAATAACAAATTGGTGTCTGAAGCTTAGTTTGATAAGGAATTGTGGACAACACATAGTAAATACATTTATCATAAAGTTACACAAATGAAAAAGTAAATCATTTGCTAGTCCTTTGCTGATTGGTAACAATGCTAACTGTGTTTTCACATGGATATAAAACATATTCTCCCAGTTAAATATTTTTTCTACTTTTAGATTGAACTGTAATATTTCCATATTTCCCAGGTTAGTTACGTTGTCTGAATTGGTCTAACATGTTGTCTAACACTAGGAAAATTCAGAAAAAAAATTGTCAAACCTCTTAAGAGAGAACAATCAATACTTGCACTCTTAGTTTTTCTCATAGGTTCTCTTATTCCTTCAAGCAAACAAAGGCTCATAGGGAGCCATTCCCAAATGGTGTTCTTTTTGTGGGCTTATTTTAGCAAGGTGTTCATGCACCACTTACACCAAATTTCTTCTTGGACACTCGTTAATATGCAATCTTCTTTTCTTTTCTTTTTTTTTTTTTTTTAGAATTGCTTCTCCTCCTTTTAGAAAAAGTTGGATCTTGAAGTACTGCAGCTGCATGCCCCATCCCTTCCCTCCAGCCTCTCACACTCTAAGCAATTTCTGGAAGGGTTAGTGATTAATTGCAGTCATCTGTAGAGATTTCTTCCCATGCGACAGTTTACTTTGTCACAATTCACTATGTAAGAATTCACAGAAACAGTAAAAAAAGGAGGTGTGAGTAACCCTTGTAGTCCTCTGCAAAATTGTGCAATATGCAGATTGTGCTCTTTGTTTATTCTATTTTTCAATAAAGCAATCACTAAAGGGTCAGTTGAGAGATCTCAGAAACTCCTGCCTCCTCTCAGATTCACACACGTATCTCCCAGTCTGCCAGTCATCTTAACCTTCCACTTGTTACTTCCATGAAAAATATTTCCCACTGATGAGGTACTTTCAGAGTGTGATGTAGTCTGAGCCCTACAATGGGAAGAAAGTAACATCTGGTGTAGATAATTTGACCTCCTCCATGTAAAAGCCCTGGTTAGTTAAGAGAATAAGACCACACAAATATCTGACTCCTGTAGTTCTCGTCTGTGAGGAAGATCTCTTTGT